TCGTGGAAAGGCCCAGATCCCGTATGCGCCGACGTGTACCAAATCGAATATGGCGCAGAAGCAATATGTTTGTTACATGTCCTGAGGCTGAAGGAGAAGAGTTGGTTGATGATGATATGTAGTATTTCCCTACCTTCTCTTAAATATAACCACACTGACTATATGAGTGAAAGATATTCTTTCTCCAAATGTGGAACTGCAACTTCCACATGCAACCTTTTAACTTGAAACAATAATATATTTTACATACACATCCTTAGACATTTTTGCAAATTAAATGCTCTAAGCTTTCGTGTTGTCTTGTAACCAACAACAACAATGAGAAGGAGAATATCATAGTTTTCAATTTCTCCTAGTGGAGTTTGTTGGAGGGGGGTAATCTTTTTGAGACTTCTCCCCCGAATCATCTCTTACTACTCTACGCACAAAGCGGGTTAAAGCGATTTGAACATCTTCTTTTCGCTATTATGTACTGAATAATAGACAATGAAGAGTCATTTTGGACTCACAGCAATATTTGATTTTAATAACATATGCAAATAGAGACAATAATGAATATAACGAAAATAAAAAATGCTCTACGTTTTTTTTTTCTTTTTTTCGCCTTTCAATAATGTGAAAATAAGGTGGAAGATATCTTAGTTAAGGCGTTTCTTTTTTTATTTTTATGGATACTGTTTTCTTTTTCTTTTTAAAGCTATTTCTTATCTGATGGAACACTCTGGGTGCCAAAAAAGTACATGGCACATGTTTAAATAAAAGTACTCTAATAAATTCTCTCACCCACATTGGTTGTTGTGACTCTGGCAATTAAAAGATTTGTTTCTGTCAAGATTACTGTACCTATATTAAGATTTATCAATTTTTTCTATGATATATTGCAAATGTAAAAGCTATTATGAGACGCAATAATTGAGTTTCCTTCTTGGCTCTAAAACAATTTATAGTAGACAATCATTTCTGTGTCTTATTTTCTCTTCTTTTTTTTTAAAAAAAAAAGGAATATTTACTGTGGAAATCAATGTTTTCTTTTTCTGTTTTTTCTTGTATTTTTTTTTTGTGTGTTTGCTGAGCTTTCTAGAGGAGTTTGGCAGGGATGGTAAACGAAAATGATCAATGCCTATTTTTTCTTTTTGATTCTTGGGGTTTATGCTTGACATGTATGTGTGGCATCAGGTTTCTCATGGGATCATGTATTTGTGTTTCCGTTTGTTTTTCTTTTCTAAAAAAACTGGGTATGCATTCTTGCTCTATACGTGTAGCTTTATGCAAGACTGTTGCACATTAACTCTCATCCCCTTCTCCTTTGTTTTATATTGTAGAGCTTTGAATCTAGCACCCACACAGAAGAGCCAATTCCTAAGCTATGATCTCCGGAGAGTTGTTATATTTTCTGTAGGTTCTTCTATCCTATTTCGTTAGGTCAAAAGTCTAAAAGAAAGCCGAAGCAGATGGATTGAATAGAATCAATGGGTGTTTTCTCTTTAGCTGTATTGTGGTCTTATACCAGTGCATAACTGAGGGAGGTGGTTTACAAAAAAAAAAAAATAATAATAATAACTGGGTAGATGCATGCAAAACTGTGATTCAGGTATTTCCACTCCTTCAAAGCTGAACCTTTTTACGAAGCTCATAGAGGGTGGGGTAAGTAAGAATATGTTCCAGAGTATCTTTGCATATACTATGGTTGAACCATGGAGATTATGCCCCTGTTGTTGAACTCTTATCGTGGAATTTCCCAATGTGAGTATTTTAGGACTGCTTTCGAAAAAAAAGGAGGGCGATAGTGAGGATATCAGACCTCTTTACGTTGTTGTTTTTTGGAATTTCGAGATAACTCTGCTGAACTGGAACGTTTTCTATGTTTGCCTGTGTTGTGTTTGCGTTGGACATTATTGGAACAATCCTACTCGGGATTTGTACCTCATGTCGTATTCTTCACATTTGAAATTATAAATGGTCTCATTCCGAGCAGCTGATGGTGTTTTTGCAGCCTTCATGCTTATAATGTATATGTGCTCGAAGCACGTCGGTCCCGGCGTAAGTGTTGGGTGCACTGTAGTCATTGGATGCCTTCTTTACGGTTTTCTACTCTTAGGCGTTTATTCTTCTTGTATGAGGGAGCGGGCGACTGTGCTGCTCACGGATAGCATTTGCGCAGCTGTTGTTGCAGCCACAATGCCGCAGGGGATTTCCACACAAACGGAGCAGCCCACTCTTCTTTTCCTGATGTTGTGTTGTTAGAACTGTTTGTTGCTGGGTACATGATAGAGGGAGCAGCGGGATAGGTCTATTTGGGTGTAGTGCCTTGGTGTGTGTGTGTGTGTGATGGTTGGAAAGGGAATCTATTTTTTTTTTTTTTCTGTGTTCTTTTGAACCTCTCAGTGCAGAGCAGCCAAACTCAATCCTCACGGGGTCTTTTCGTTTTGGAAGCTCTAAAACTTTTTCTTCTTTTGTGGTTCTGTTTTCAACCTGTTTCTCAGATGGATGCTGGGTTTTTACTACTATTATTTTATTATGTGTACAAGTTAAAAGTGACTGCTTTTATTTTTATTCTATGCGCTTTAGTCTCTCTAGCGTTGTGGTTTTCTTGTTGGATTAAAAAAAAAAATTGCTTCTCACACATACGGTACTTGAGTTGTGTGAACTTCACCTTTTATGTGGCTCAGAGAAAATTGGCGGAGAAAAACTTGTATGAACCATGTACGATGTGTAAATGTACAGAAGCCAATAAAAAAGAACTAAAAGCATGTTTGTAAATCTTTTTTCTGAGTAATATACTATTTTTCTTTTTTTGGTGGGATTTGTGTTAAGTTAATTGGGTACAAATATATTAAACAGTTTCTTTTTGCATTTTTTTTGTATTTTACCTCTTTTTAGTGATATTTACTGTATTTGAGCATTGTGTTTACGTTGTTTCTTCAGTGACGCGTTTAGACTTGATCACGGTGAATGTATTTCTGTTTCTCTTCTTTTTCATTACACAATTCTTTTGGGTTTCTCTTTTTTTCCTTAACTATTTCCATATATTCTGATTAACTAAAATAAGCTACAAGTACTTCTTCGTATTTGAAAGCTTTGAAAGTAATCACCAACCGCAACACATACAAACACAAGTACTTCTTGGCATTCACTACAATTATTCAGTAACCTCTTTAATCTGACGAGAAGACAGTAAGGAAGGAAGGAAGGAAAGGCTGAGGAACAGAGAGAGGAAAGAAAGAAGTGCAGCAATGAAATACAACATGCCCCACTCTCTGTTTGTTGTATTGCTCCTTTTTTTGCTTGGCTGCATCAGTGGATATGCACAAGAAGAGGGTCCACAAGAAGAAACGGTAGCCATCGTTGATTCTACTCGTAGTGAACTTTGTAAGCCAATGACTATAAGACCACAGACGAGCGGCGAAAATGTTCAATTGGAGGCAGTCCATCAATTTTATGCCCCACATCTTTTTTTCTTTAATGGTTCTCTTGTGTCAATTACGGCTGCTGCAGTATGCCAGGAACAGGGTAGTAACCAGAATGAATTCATTAAAATTCTGAAAAACAAAAACGAGGAGGGCAAAAAACAATGGACTGAAAGTATTGGATATGTGTTTCATTATTCCAAAGCAAGTGAATCCGTGAAAAAGGTTTTTGATAACGATAAGAACGACTACCAAGCTGCGCTTGCTCTTGTGGAAAGCAAAGAGGATTCCAGCGGTACTGCAGATGGGCCACAGAATTTTACTATTCGCATTTTGTGGATGAAAAGAGGCAAGACTAAATCTGCAGTTCATTCGATGGTGTATGATCGTCAGAGTAACAGTTCTTTCTTGTCGCGTCAAGATTCAACGCTTGTGCGATTCCTTGCTAAGACGAGTACATCCATTTTGACAACGGAAAACAACGTTTCTGTGTTTCCTGTGCAATTTGTTACGAAAAATAACAAAATCAGATCGACAGTTATGTATTACAGGCCGTATGATACGAAGTGGAATGTTGGCGGTTTAACTGACGAAGGTACTTATAATCCTACTGTTATGGAGTGGGAAAATGATAAGTTAATGATGATTACGCAGCATACCAGCGGCCGTTACAGAGTGTACGAGTCCACCGATTTGGGAAAGAATTGGAAAGAGTCTACCAGTACACTCTCCCGTATGTGGGCCAACTCCACTGTAACTGCAGACATACCAACTAGTGAGCGTGTAAGTCAAAACAATTTTATTACGGCAACTATTGATAATAAGAGTGTCATTCTTTTTACACAGTCTGTGGTATCTGGAGAAGAGGAGCAACTCTATCTGTGGGTCACTGATAACACACGTATTTATTACGTTGGCTTGATTGTTAAGGATAAAAAAGTGAAGAGCAGCACTTTATTGTTCAGGGATAACAAATTGTACTGTCTGTATGATACTGTTGAAGGGACAGATAAGTACAAAGTCTTTTTTGTGGACCTGACGAACAAGGTAAAAAAGATAAAAGAGGTGTTGAATAAGTGGGATACTATTGCATCCAAGGGTATCTGCTGCACTGATAAAACATGTGCTTCTTCTGATTGTCGTATTCCCACTACTGGACTGGTGGGCTATTTGTCTGGAACCATCGATGAGGAAAGAATATGGAAGGATGAATACCTCTGCGTAGATGCTTCTGTAAGTGGTACGGCAAGGAAGAATCCTAATGGATTTACGTTCATGGGTATTGGTGCGGGAGCAATGTGGCCTGTGAGTACAGATGGACTGCCGAGGCAGTATCACTTTACAAACTATGCATTTACTCTTGTGGCGACGGTGGCTATCCACGCGGCACCAAAGAAGGGCAGCAGTCCTGTGTTGGGTGTAAGGCTGATGGACAAAAATGGGCAAGAACTTCCTTTTGGTTTGTTGTACAACAACGATAAAACGTGGAGCACCATAAACAGGGGAACCAAAAGTAAGTCAACACGTACATGGGAGTTGAACAATAAATATTCTGTGATATTGACATTTGAAAATGGTGAAAGCTCTCTGTATATTAACGGCAATCGGCTAGATGTGGGAACTGACTTGAGAATCGAAGCAAATGAAGAAATATCCCATTTTTACTTTGGTGGGTACAGTCGAGAGAATGAGGAAGTAAAAGTCAATGTACATATATCAGTGACAAATGTTATGTTGTACAATCGCGTGCTCCTTTCCGCTGAAATTGATGAACTGGTCAAGAACAAAGCGAATGTTTTATTGTCAGAAAGCGAAATTAAGGGTAATTCAGAGCAGGGAACGGCAACAACTGCGGACACAGGGAATAAGAACAGTGGAGAGGAAGATAATACGAAGAATACTGAGGCTGCGGTTTCTCAAGACAATGCAACTTCGACTCAAGCGGCAACTACTGCCGTTCGACCTGAGACTGGCACTGAGACTGCGCCGCAGAGAGAAAATGCCACGTCAGTTAATAATACACACCAAACTCAAGGGGAAGCACTAATCAACAAGAATGTTAAGGCGCGCCAAAATAAGACTGTTGATGGCACTGTTCGTATCTATGAATCTGTATTGCCAATGCTTCTGCTGGGATTGTGGGCTCTTGCAACAGTTCTCCCATAAATGTGTGTGCAACCACGTGAATATAATTTCTAATTCGGCTTCTTTTCATCAATAAAAAACAAATTGCTGTCCATAGTGTGGACTCTTTTCTTTTTAATTCTTTTTTTTCTTGCTTTTTTTCCCTTGTGTTCAGCACCATGGAATTCTTTTTTTTCTTTCTTTCTTTTTTGGAAAATTAACTGTTTGCTACAATCTCTGTAGTCCAGGGATTCACTCCTAACGCCACTTTTTTTGCCCACACACGATGCTTGATTTCTCAACCTCACCTTTTGCAGAGTGTGGATATAACAGAGGAGTAATCGAGCACATTGAGGACCGCACTGGGTGAGAATGATGTATGCACAGGAGTTAATGGGATGATATTAAAAATACATTTTTTTTTTCTTGTGTGGTGAAAAAAGTTTTTTTTTTGCAAGCAATCTATAGTGTGTGTGTTTTTTTTTTAATTGTGTTCCTTTTTTTGTGTGGTGGTTCACCGTAGGGATTGGTCTAATGATTTCTTTATTGGGGTAATATCATCAGTATGGATATTTTTCCTTTCCCTAGGGAGAATGGTGCCCATGGATGTATCGTTGTTATGATGTCCTAATAATCTGTTTTCGTTACTTGGTGTATTTGTTGGCATGTGTTTTTTTCTTCCTTTTTTTTTGTTTTTCTTACCATTATGTACGCTCATTCAAAATAGATGAATAGACACTGTACATGAACATTTATATGGTTTAGGGGGGTTTGTTTTGATTGCTGTGTTCTCTGCGGGAGCTGGCTCATTCTGGAGAGGTCTACAGTGTGTTGTGTGTACCACGGTATACATTTGGTGAACACTGAGGACTGGTTGGGGAATGGGAGAGTGGAGTACAGAGTCCCATATGCTTCTCTACTTGAACTGCCCCGATTATACCCTATCATGGTGGGGCCGCATTCCCTCTATTTGTTCTTGACGGTGTTATTTGACTGGACATTTTGCTGTTTGTGTGTAGGTGTGTGTGTGTGTGTATGTGGTTTCCTTTCCATTGGGAATGGAATAAGTAATGGAGAGTGAGAGCCAATGGTGTTGGTTAGGGATACATCTCTGCTGTTGTAATATTCTTCTTCTTCACATGGGTATTCCCCTAACGGCTGCTTGCCGTATTCTGATTGTACATGTATGTGTGTATTTGTGTGTGGACTCAACCTATGGAAGGGGTGATGTGTGTATTGCCACATTGGTTTAATTTTTCGATCTGACCTTAGTCTGTGTGCTTTTTCTTTGTGATTATGAATCTGCTGTTCTTGATGAAATGGGGTTGGTTTATTTTTACTGTGGTGTGTTCGCCTCTGTGTGTTTGTCCTGTCTGTTCACTCTCTTGTGTTTTTTTTTCTTTTTTTGTTTTCTTTACTACTTTTGACCAACGTGTGATTGACTAGATTAAGATACAAACGCTACTTTGTAGTTGAAGTCTTTGAAAGTAATCACCAGCCGCAACACATACAAACACAGTCACTTCTTGGCATTCACTACAAGTATTCAGTAACCTCTTTAACCTGAGGAAAAGACAGGAAGTAAGGAAAGAAAGGCTGAGGAACAGAGAGAGAGGAAAGAAATAAGACCAACCATGAAATACAACATGACCCACTCTCTGTTTGTTGTATTGTTCCTCTTGATGCTGGGCTGCATCAGTGGATATGCACAAGGAGAGGAACCGCAAGAAAAGACAACCTTACTCCGTACATTTAATGGTTCTCATATTTTGGAGTTAGAGAATGGGCAGCTGGTGGCAATTAACGGTGCTAATTTGTATCGGTGGAATGGATCACAACGTGAATACATGGAATTATTGACACCAGCGAGCAGTGAGGGTGAAAATGCGTTATTGAACACCGATAGAAATTTGCCTCGCCTTTACTCATATGGATACAATGTTTTTCTCATGCGCTATGGCTCTGGTACATCTTTTCGTGCTGTTTTTGCTCTTGTGGAAAGCAATGACCCTCCAAGTGAAAAATATTCTGTTCTTCGCATTGTGTGGATGAACACTCTGAATGGTATAATTGAAAAGAATTCGTTGATTCACACTCCGTTGATTCTTAGATTTCCTATTATGAAGGGAGAAGCAAGGGTTGTGCGATTCCTTGCTAACACAAGCACACCAATTTTAACAACAAAAAACAATACACTTCTGTTTCCTGTGCAATTTGTTACGGAGGATAACAAAGTCTTTTCGACAGTTATGTATTACTGGCCCCATGATACGAAGTGGAATATTGGGGGAGCTTTGCCTGATATGGACACTTATAATCCTGCTATTCTTGAGTGGGAAAATGATAATTTAATAATGATTACGCAGCATACCAGTGGCTACCACAGAGTGTACGAGTCCACTGATTTGGGAGATACATGGAAAGAGTCTACCAGTACACTCTCCCGTGTGTGGGCCAACTCCCCTATACAGCCTGGTCGTGGAAGTCAAAACAATTTTATTACTGCAACTATTGGTGAGAAGCGTGTCATTCTCTTTACGCAGTCTGTGGAAACTGAAGAAGAGAACGAACTCCATCTGTGGGTCACTGATAAAACACATATTTATCATGCTGGTTTGATTGTTAAGGATAAAAAAGTGAAGAGCAGCACTTTATTGTTCAAGGATGACAAACTGTACTGTCTGTATGAGGCGAGTAAAGAAGAAGGGAAGTACGAAGTTCTTTTCGTGGATCTGACGAACAAGGTGAAGGAGATAAAAGAGGTGTTAAATACGTGGGATACTATTACATCCAATGGTATCTGCTGCACTGATGAAGCATGTACATCTTTTGATTGTCGTATTTCTCCCACTAAGCTTGTGGGCTATTTGTCAGAAACCATCGATGAGGAGAGTAACTGGAAGGATGAATATCTCGGCGTGGATGCTTCTGTAAGTGGTACGGTAAAAAAGAATCCTAATGGATTTACGTTCATGGGTATTGGTGCGGGAGCAATGTGGCCTGTGAGTACAGATGAACTGGCGAGGCAGTATCACTTTACAAACTATGCATTTACTCTTGTGGCGACGGTGGCTATCCACGCGGCACCAAAGAAGGGCAGCAGTCCTTTGTTGGGTGTAAGTCTGAAAAATACCAGGGGAGAAATTCTTTTGGGATTGTCGTACAATAAAAACAAAACGTGGAGCACAATACACAGGAATGTCGTCCAGGCTTCAGATAATAGATGGGAAGTGGACAGAACATATACTGTGGTATTGACATTTGCGAATAGCGACTGTTCGGTGCAAATTGACGGAGATCCCATGGGTTTTGTGAAACATAACTTCAACAGAGAATCAGAAGAGATTTCCCATTTTTACTTTGGTTCCGACGGAGAGGCTGGAGACAGTACCTTCGCAACAGTGACAAATATTATGCTGTACAACGGCGTGCTCACACCAACCGAGATTGATGCACTGATAAAGAAGAAGTTGGTTATTTCCTTGTCAGAGAGTGTCAAGCAGATGCTAACTGAGGAAATAAAGATGCAATCTACTCTCCCGACCCCTGCAACCAGCAGTACGGCAGGACCTCAGTCAATAAAGAAACCACAGAATACGAACAGTGGAAATCAAACCATTGATGGCACTGTTCGTATTTATGAATCTGTACTGTCAATGCTTCTGCTGGGATTGTGGGCTCTTGCAACAGTTCTCCCATAAATGTGTGTGCAACCACGTGAATATAATTTCTAATTCGGCTTCTTTTCATCAATAAATAATAATTGCTGTCCATAGTGTGGACCCTTTTCTTTTAATTGTTTTCTCTTTTTTTTTCTTGCTGTTCCGTGCGTTTAGCACCATGGAATTCTTTTTTTTTCTTTTTTGGAAAATTAACTGTTTGCTACAATATCTGGAGTCCAGGAATTAACTCCCAACGTCCCCTTATTTGCCCACACACGATGCTTGATTTCTCGATCTCACCTTTTGCAGAGTGTGAATGTAACAAAGGAGTAAGCAAGCACATTGAGGGCCACACTGGGTGAGAATGATGTATGCACAGGAGTTAATGGTATGATATTAAAAATACATTTTTTTCTTGTGTGGTGAAAAAAGATTTTTTTTTTTTTGCAAGCAATCTATTGTGTGTGTGTATATATGCTTGTTTTAATTCTGTTTCCATGTATACGTTTATGTTTTTGTTTTAATTCTGTTTCTCTTGTGTGTGTGTGAGAGGGTTTTCACTGTAGGGATTGGTCTAATGATTTCTTTGTTGGGGTAATATCATCATTATGGATGTTTTTCTTTTCCCCAGGGAGAATGTTGTTCATGAATGTATGGTTGTTATAATGTGAAAATAATATACTTTCATTACTTGGTGTGTTTGTTGGCATGTGTTTTTTTCTTCTTTTTTTTATTCTTTCCACCATTATGTACACTGATTCAAAATAGATGATTAGACACTGTACATGAACATTTATATAGTTTAGGGGGGTTTGTTTTGATTGCTGTGTTCTCTGCAGGAGCTGACTCATTCTGGAGAGGTCTACAGTGTGTTGTGTGTACCACGGTATACATTTGGTGAACACTGATGACTGGTTGGGGAATGGGAGAGTGGAGTACAGAGTCCCATATGCTTCTCTACTTGAACTGCCCCGATTGTACCCTATCATGGTGTGCCATCATTCCCTGTGTTTACTCTTGACGGTGATATTTGTCTAGTTGTTGTATCCTTTTCTTGCGGCTGATTTGGAATACTGTGTGTTTCAGACTCTTTCTGTGGCTCTCATTGCCACTTTGAGAAGAAGACTGTTTTGTGCAGTGGGTATTCTGCCGTTTGTGAGTGTGGGTGTGGGGGTGTGTTTGCATGGGGAATGAGATAAGTAATAGGGAGTGATGCGCAGTGGTGCTGCATTCTTCTGGTGGGCATGAGAAGGTCCAATAGGGTTTTTTTTTTNTATAAATTTATAATGTAAAAATACATCAAACACAAGAAAACGAATAGGAAAATAATATGAAATAATAATCCCAATGTGGTGTGGGTCGTTGTTCCTTTCACGTGCTTTTTTGATGGAGTATTGGTGGTTGATGCCGACTTTGTTTGGCCTCTTGTGTGTTTTCCTTCTTTTCCTTTCTCCAGAGAATAGCCTCAAGCAATCCACCACTAACAAGTAATCAAACAAACCAAACAGCACGATGAAGCGGATGAACACGGAAGGAGTACAATCGATAGAGCTGCAGTTTTGTAAAGAGCAAGACGAGCGCTGCGTGCATAACGACGCACACAACGTGATGCCCTCCGAGCATTATGGGAAATGTGAAACACTGCATCGATGGGAGAGTGAGAAGAATACAACGAGATCACTGTTCCATCAAAGGCTTTCGTTGCAACAGGTGCTGCGTGTCCTTGTGGTGTTGTGGCTACTGCTGCCCATGGCAAATCCATTTCTCTGCTGTGCTGCAGCTGCTGGAACAAATGGTATTTTGACAACCATTACCGGTTGCTTTCCTAATATGGTGGTCTCCCCCAGTCAAACAACACAACACTGCGAGGTGGACAATGCCAATGTTTTAAGTACCTTGACTCTTAGGGTTGGGTATTACAACAATGCTGGACTCAATTCTGGATGGACAGCTTCTCTTGTGGAGGGAACAAATCTCATTAGATTTGTGCCAATCGTTGGAGCTGTTTCAGAGGATATGATTCTTGTCATTGTGAACACTCCTCAAGTGGGGGACCCTATTCCAGTGACGAACAACTTCACCTTGAGGTTTATGGATATCAAAGAAACAACAGCATCATTTACTTCTAACAGTTCCTATTATGGGTTGAAGAGAATGGTGCGGACAAATTTACCAAATATCAATGCCATTCAGAACTACCTGCTGGTTCCTCCTCAGTCAGACTGTGATGCCATGGCAAAAAACTGTACTGCTGCTACTGGATGCTACAAATTGGCGATTTCTGCATCCCTTCCTATTCTTGGGAACTATTCACTGTGCTTATCCGCGAGTGGATGGCGAGGCTACTACTTGCCGTGGGGTGGAATTCCCCTCGAAGTGAGGGTGCTGGTGCCAAGCGAGCTGTATATGAACACTCTCGGGAAAAACACGCTGTTGCTCCAGGACGCAGTGACAGGTGCAAATGTGACTGACATGAACAGTGTGTTCCTGGTGAAGTGCCCATACGGTGGGCGCCCACGAGAGACACTAAACAGTGGTGATCTAATAGTGAGTGTTGATGTGTGTACTGGGTCCGCTGTCACGGATCGTGTGTACTTGTCTGCTAAGGGTGGGCCCTTCTCTGCAACAACAGGTGACTACGCTGTCTGCGCGGATTACGGTGCAGAGGTTGGTATTTCTCCCGCTGCACTTCCAGTAAGAGTATTGCAGGATCCCTTTGTTTTCAATGTCACTGTGATTACAAACACGTTGGTGACGATTGGTGTGCGTGGGGGTGATCTCTTATCGAGGCAGGAACCATATGAAGTGTGTGCAGTGCTGCCGAATACACCGTGTGAGTCTGTGGCTACTGCTCAAGACTCTGTGTGTGTGAGGAGTAGCTCCCCAAATTCCCCATCTGTTGATGTTGACATCTTGAGTCTGTACAGTCTGTATAAACTGGGTGCTGACAATGTGACCTTTTGCTTTGTTGCATCTAATGTGACATTTAACGCCCGCCGTTATGTTTGGTCGCATGATGTGAGGGAACCTTTTTTGCCGGAGGGTGACTCAGCAGTGGTGCCAAGTTCGAATAAATTATCTGTTGGTGCCATTGTTGGTATTGTTATCGCAGTTGTGGTTGTTCTTGTTATTGTGGCTGTCATTCTGTTTTTTGTACTGCGTCAGCGACCACAACAAGAACAACGAAGAGAAAAGGTGCAGATGGATACTGTGGAGTCTCAATCCACAAGTAAAACAACCACAGTGGAGACTACTCCGAATCCTCTCATGAATCCTCCTGTTGTTGCTGCTGTTGGTGGTGCAGGGTTTGAGTTGCAACATCATCCTCTGTCTCATAGGCCTGCATCAGAGATGGAGACACATGCCCGTTCTCAAGCATCTCTTGCAATGCAGTCCCTTGACAGAATGGCACCCACCACTGTTACCGCCGCAGTTGAAGTGAAAGAGCACCGTAACGAACTCCCTCGTGTAACGCGGGATGAGGCTCCTTCCAGACGTGTTGCCGCTCCTCCAGCTAAGGATGTATTGCCACAAAAACATTTTTTGAGAGGCTCACTTCCTAATGCCAATCCATATTTGGGTAAAACGTCTATCAGATCTGATGTCCCGGGAGCTCCAAACTGCACACCACATGAGGTATCAAGTGAAACTGTGTTGACGACTCCCGTTGAAACTGAAGTTGTGCGTAAGACTGGGGAGGAGCAAATGAACTCTACAACAATGAAACGTCATTCTGACAATGCAATGATGACGCTTCGCAATGCGGTTGGTTCTCACCCTGATCCTGGCGCAGAGAAGAGTGCTGAGGGGAGTCACTCAACAACTCTCCCTGCCCCTCCGTCCTCTGAAGGAGCAGACACATTGCCAATTCTCAGTGAAACGAATGTTTTCCATGAGGATGAGGGTGATATGACTCCTCAAAATACAGATGAAGCTCCTGTTGATTGCATCAATAAGCAGTGGTCTGACAGAATGAGGCTGATACAATGCGGTGGAGACCCTTCACACTTTAATGCTGATGCGGATAACACCAAAATAACACAGTCAAATACTGTCAATATGCCTGTTCATACACCAAGTTCGAATAATGTGCCTGCCGGTGATGTGAGACAGGACCACCCTGCCAGTAACACTGTTGCTACGAGTCCAGTGCCATCAGAAGATGTTATTGAGAAAAGGTATCCACCTCTTACAGGCTGGCATATGTTGCCCTCAAGTGAACCAGGAGGTCTTCCGAGATTAGTTGGATTTGAGTTATTCACACCAGTGGTGTACATGCGGAACCCCAATTTAGATATATTTTACCGAGATTATTTATCAAAGAAAGAGGAGTTACTCAGAGCACGTCGCAAGCGTGAGGCGATGGAACGTGCACGCGATAAAATGTCGGATGATGAGGGTTCGCTTGGTGGAGGTTCGGGTGAAACTGGATCAGACCATGACATTGACAATCCAGAGAACAGTACGGGGCCAGGTGACGTAGCGCAGACGGATGCGCCGCCTTTCCCTGAATAACGCAATTAAAATTTATCCCAGCTGAACTCTCAAGCAAAGTCACCAAGGTGTATTGTTAGTCTACTGGTACTCTCATCCTTTCCATAATCCATTGACCTGGATTGGTTGTTGTTGATGCTGTTGTTAGGTTTACTGGGACACACCTTTTTTTTTTTAAAAAAAAAAAAACCTAAAGGGTAATCTGCAGTATTATAATTGTTATTATTGTACAAACATTCTGTGGAGACGGTATTCTAGCGATGATGCCTTTGCTAAGGTCTGTAGAGAAGTGAAATTGTCTCTGCGCTTGTTTTTTGTTATGTTCTCCGCCTGTGCATCTATGTGATGTTGAAGAAGAAACTGAGTGAGATGACATGAACATCTGTTGGAGTGGTCATTTGGTTTGTTCCCTGCTGAATGTAGGATGACACTTCCCACTAAGAAGGTTATTGTATCGTGGTGAAAAAAAAAAAAAAAAGAAGAAGAAAGGGGAGAACGTACGAGATAAAGAACGATAAAAAGAAATCATATTTAATAAAAGACAAACACATGTAATATGTATTTTCTCATTTGTTAATTAACCTATGTTGTGTGTGGGTTGGTGGATAGCCCTTAAAATAGTGTGCTCATAGTGAATAAGCGAAAACCCCAGCGGGAAACCAAGTGAAGAAAGTGAAAACGAAAACCAGAAACTTTAATCTCACCAGTAGAAAAGAAAATGGATTTGGCTCAATAAGTGAGAGATTAAATTGGTAACAAAACAAAACAAAAAAAAAACAGAATAAATAACATCTACACCTCTCTACTATGCTTTTTTCTTTTTTTTATATTTGTTCTTGAGTACCTGCCAATCTTACAGACATGGTAGTGGGCCCAGCACTGAGAGTAATGGTAAAGTGGGAAAATGTGAAAACACCAAACAACATGAAGTGTTTTTTTTTTTCTTTTGTAGATGTGCGAAAGTGAACTCGGTATTTGAGTTCCATTTTCTTTTTATTTGGGGATTGAGAAATCGTCAACATGGTATTCTTTTATATGTTTTTATTATTATATTTTCGTTTTGTTTTTCATTCCTCGTTTATCCAACACCACCTTTCTTTTCCTCGCCTTGAAGAAAAATGAGGAACCGTTTGGCGCACCTGATTGTGAGTTTACCTAGGTGTGAATCAAAGAGATGGTGACAGTAAAATTAACGAAATATATTCGTTATGGTATTTACTTTATTTGATTCTCTCTCTATATATATGCCTTTTTTTCTTTTCACTCTATTATTTTTTTTTTATCTGTGTTGACCCCTGAATATGATGAGGGGGTAATTCTGTAGGATTCTCTTCCATGGCTAACGTCAACTCATTTGCTGTGCTCAGCTCAGAGTGTGAAAGAGTGGAAGGGAGAGCATCAGAGTGAGTGTAAACGAAAAAAAAAGGTGTGTAATGTGTATGTGCCTCTCTTTCTCCATAATTTCCTTATTATTTTAGGCAGATAATAGTAAAGTGAACAGGAGTAAGACATGGTAATGGTGCAGCAGTGTGTGTGCTCCTTTGTGAGTTCATTTACAGTTGAATAGACAGAACAGCCTGTAAAGGGGAGTATGGTCTGTTTTATTATCAACAATGGGAGTGTTTGATGGTATGTAAGTGAATGCACTGGAGTGGATCAAAAGATTGATATTGAATGGGAGATGTGATTTGTGTCACCTCTTGTGCACCAGTTAATATGTGTTAGTGTGTTTATTATGTCACTTTGAATGGATTGTGTTTCCATTGGTGTTGGCAATTGGGCACTCTGTCTGCGCATTTGCTTCTGGTTTGCCATGGAAATGGTGGGGCTGGACTGTGTTCATTCTAATGGGAGTATACACCGCCGTGAAGGGCAATATTGGTAACTGGGGAATCACGATCAAACGGCAGCAGAACAAGAAATACATTGAACAGCCCAATGGGGCGTGGAACAGTGAAGATGATGAAATGGAGTAATGATTTAAAGAAGAGGAAATAGAAGTATAGTGGATTGGAGAATAACTTTCCATATACATATACATATTTATTTATTCTGGTGCATTTGTATGTAAGAGTCTGTGATGCAACAACAGTTGTTACTCTGCTTCCCTTCCACACATATATACGCACACATTATCTCCTCATTGGGATACTGAATTTCTCAGGTGTGTGTGTGACACTTTGTTTCATTCACCTGACAGATGTTGTGCATATGTACAGCCATAAATTCATTTCGTACACTATTACTCATCCGATTGGGATTTGCAAGGGCATCTTGTTTTGCCTTTCTGACGTCTGTGGCATTCTTGCAGATTGTGGTTCCAGGCTGGCTGGTAATCAGTGAGGGTTTGTTTAAATGTTTTTTAAGCCAGTTACTGCACTTTCTTGTTTCTTTACGGATTGCATACTGAGAGCTTGCTGTAGGAATGGTGTGGTCTTGCTGCGTATGATTCTTAATTTGTATAATTCTTTCTTCTCATTTGTATCTGAAAAGACTTGTGTGTTAAGGAGTGGGTTTTGAAGAAACGCCTCAGCTTCGCGCGGGGGGCGGTTTAAAGCGCTTTCAACACATTTTTGCAAGATAGCAACACGGTTTTATATAGAATGGGGAGTATTAGAGACTCGTCACAGTGTATTGTTTTTTTTTTTTTTCTTGATGATAGTGATAAAGAGAAAATAAAATAATATAAAAAAAAACTATTCATGCTTATTTATTTTTTTTTTCTTTTTTTATATGGGAGGGGGTGGGGGAAACAAGGACTAGACTATTATTTTTAAAAGCTTGTGGAAATAATGTGCGACAGGATGCGGTTAAATAAAAGAGAGTGGTAATGTTTTTGTTTACGTTGTTTTTCTTTGCCTATGATTTCTTTTTATTTTTTTTATCTCGAAAGGTAACCGCATTGGGAGGTAGCGGTTGGGGTGTTTTTTTTTCCGTCCCATCCACCTTCACTACCCTCCACGTGGAGGAGTCCGGTAGTGACGGGACCCCCCCCAAAAAGACTGCTACTTTTTAAGTAATCAACAGAATTGTGCATCATGGATTAGTTTTTATGATTTACATGGTTTAACGGTGAGTAAACGACTGACAGGTGTACCGCTCGGAAGGTAGTGGCATTAAGTCTAACTCTTGAAATTTTACTTTTTTCTTGTATTTTTTTCCCTCCATAGAAGAAAAAAAAAGAACTGAATCCAGGCGCATATTCGGAAAAAGTGTGTATATATATATATATATGTCAGTATCAAAAAAAGAAAAGAGTGTAAGAGTGGGTGGAATAAATATGAAATGGAAAGACTTTTTCAATAATAACTCTTGCACCACAGGTTTGTGTTTGCTACCTTGAATGTCACATACTTCTTTGTATCTTCCTTCTTTTCACCTGCTTTCTGCCAAAATGATTCTTCTAAGAGACAAGAGAATTAATATTTAGACCCATTGTCTTGAAATAACTCACTAAAATACGTAGAAATAAACACCCAGATAAAGAGACCAAGGGAGGGACGACACAACATTATTAAGGTATGAGGAAAAATAAGGCAATGACCTGCAGAATATTCTTCGTGTTTCTTCTTATTCTGTGCTCAAGCGCCGTCCTCTCTCACGCCATGTCCTCAGAGGAGCGTGAGAGAAGCAGAGTCATACTCTTTAAAGAAGGAGTGACGACAGTTCCATTTGAAGATGATAATGGGACGACATATCAAAGAGTAGTCGATTCTTTCCGCGTTCCTTCCCTTATTGACGTGGATGGTGTGATGGTCGCCATCGCTGACGCCCGCTATAATTCAGACAACGACAACTCCTTTATCGAGACGGTGGTAAAGTACAGCGTAGACGATGGGAAGACGTGGGAAACACAAATTGCAGTAAAGAACACTCGTGTGAGTAACGTTTCTCGTGTGGTGGACCCCACAGTCATCGTAAAAGGGAACAAGATCTACATGCTTCTGGGAAGATACAACAAGTCAAAAACGTACTGGAATCAGCAGTATGATGGCAAGGATTGGGAGCCTGTGTTTTCTGTTGGTGAGGTTAAGAAGACAACGATAAATGGCAAGGTGAATGCAACGATTACATGGACCGATCCTGTCTCACTAAAATCTATTTTCCCTAAAGAGATTGCAGGAGGGCCATCAAAGCAATTCCTTGGGGGTGTAGGGGTTTCTATTGTAACAACGAACGGTACTCTTGTGTTCCCAGTCCAGGCAATGAATACAAATAAGGAAATCACCGCAATGATTATGTATTCCAAAGACGGTGGTGATACATGGAAGTTCGCAAACGGTATCACTGCGCTGGGTTGCACTGAATCTTCTATTCTTGAGTGGGAGGGGAAAATCATATTGAACGCACGCGTTGACAAAGGCTTCCGCAAAGTCTTTGAGTCCACAGACCTGGGGGAGACATGGACAGAGGCTGTTGGTACACTCTCCCGAGTATGGGGGAACTCACCAAAACGTAAAGGCCCTGGTAGCCAGGGTCCCTTCATTCCCGTGACAATTGAGGGGAAGCGCGTGATTCTGTTTACACAACCACAGAATTACAAAGAATCATTTAAACGCGACCGACTCCATCTGTGGGTAACGGACAACAACCGTATATTTAATGTTGGTCAGATTTCCGTTGATGATGAGAACGCTCCCTACAGTTCAGTGCTCTACAGGGATGATAAGTTGTACATCCTGCACGAGAAAAATATCAGGGCATACAGTCTTATCTTTCTGGAGCTGAAAGAAGAACTGAACTTGATCAAGTCAGTGGTGAAGACCTGGATCGAGCAGGACAAGAACTTCTCAGACATTTGCACCCCAGTCGACCCAAAGAAACTCTCTGTTGTTGCAAGTGACTGCGGCCTCCCGTTCCCCACTGCTGGGCTTGTTGGCTTCCTTTCCGATGGGGGTGACAGTGAACAGTGGAAGGACGCATACCGCTGTGTGGACGCTAGCGTGAAAAATGGTGAGAAGGTTCTCAATGGTATGAGATTCAAGGGAGTTGGTGCAGGGGCACTTTGGCCAGTAGGTAAGCAGGGACAGAACCAGCGATACCATTTTGCAAACTACATGTTTACGCTGGTAGCGACGGTGCAAATCATTGATCTCCCGAAGGCCGGCAACCCAGTCCCACTATTGGGAGTGAGCTTGGATGAGGCTGGTGGCAAGAAGGTTCTGGGACTCTCATTTAACAGCGACCAGCAGTGGAACCCAATATACGGGAAGTTTGAAGCCGCACCTACCGGATCGTGGGAACGGAAGAAGACATACCAGGTGGCACTCACTTTTGAACACGGAGTGGGTTCGATCTATGTTGATGGGGAGCCCTTGGCAGGTTCAGGGGAGAGGCTTCAGTACGATACAGATTCCCCCGTTGTTTCACACTTTTACATTGGCGGATACGGAAACAGAAAACTAAAGACGGATGGCCATGTAACAGTGACCAACGTTCTTTTATACAACAGACAACTGAACCAGAGCGAACTCAAAACCTTGTTCTTGGCCAGGGATTTCATTTCTTCTAACAAGCCGGAAGGGTCGGGTAGTTTAGAAACCGATGGATCGACACTCTGTTTCGGGGTTAATTGTTTTTCAATGATGCTTCTACCGTTACTAACCCTGGCTCTCGTTCTATTTGACCATGGTATTTTTATCTGAAGTTTTTGTAACCAATATGATTTAATAACCCACATGAGATCATCTATTGTTTTTTTTTTCTTCTTTTGACCGTCATTTCACTTGCTGAGAAAAGCCAAACATACGCTTCTCTCGAGGACATTGATGTGTCGGTATGAACTGAATGTAATTATAATACCCAAATTGATTGCACAAAGATCAATTGGCTTATACATTCAATTTGGTATGTTCTTGGAACCATATTCTCTTTTTTTCTACTAATTAAATTGTATTTTTATTTACTTGTTCTCTCGTTTTTTTTATTGGATGGTGTCTCTTTGAAAAGAATATGTGTTTACTAGTGGTCTATTTTTTTGTGGGTTGGTGTGTGTTGTTTTCTGAAAGCTTGCGATAAGAATGGCAAAGCCTTACTTTTTGGAACTACAGATTTATGGGTTTTGGTAAACCAAATTCTATTTCTTTTATCTTTACAGTCTGCCTAACAGTAAGTTTCTGAAAAGCCCACCCAACCCAACCCACTCCGCCCCGAGCGGGAAGCGGGATAAAAGGGCTTCTCAGCACTTCCATTTCGTTAGTTTCTGTTATGTATTAGCAATCATCATCGGGAAAAGATTTGATAGAGATATGTAAATAATGCATCAAAACTTGTTTGAACAATCATGGAAACAAAATATTTTTCTCTTGTGTTTTATTTCTTTAAAGAGGGAGTAAGGCTAGGGTATTCATGTTTCTTTCACTTTATTGTTTTTTTGCTTTTTGCGGGCGCGAAGAGTTGCCGGCTGAACGCTTAGGAGGAGTTTGGGTTTTTGGTTGTTTCTCTTTATTAGTGTTTTATTATAGTTTACATGTATGACTTTGGTCCCGTACTCTGTCGATCCGTGAGTGGAGTGCCTTGGGTAGACGTTTGAAAGCCTACATTCATCAAAATAGCCCTAAAAGGGTGATCGACACCATTGTCGACGGAAATGCCTTTTCCTAATGAATCTGGAGTGACTCTGTTTAGAGGATGGTGTGCCATGGAGGTAATGGTTTGACTCTTCTATGATTGATCGGGTGACAGATCTGCATACCTCTGATTTGCCACTGTTTGAGGCACAGTTTTTGATTCTCCTTTTATCGGTAGTTAAAAATGTCGGGTGGTATGCAGTTTATTAATGCTGCAGACGCCGACGAAAACAATGAGTGGGTCGATGGGGTTGCAGATGTCGTCAGACCAGAATCTAAAAAAAAAAAAAATTGATCTCTCCAAATGGATCCCAAAACTCGAGAATGGGTGGATTTTGAGCCCTGGAGGTGGGGATGTTCGGGGTGATGTTGATTATTGGAGACAAACATCTTTACAGGTAAAGGAAGCTTTTGAGTCTTTTTATGATTGGATAGAGTTAACTCAGGTCGTGGGAAATCCGCCCCCACCATTTATGTTGCACATTGGCGCAAAAGTGTTGACTAATTTTCGTTCCGTTTCATTATTGGATGAGAACCCATCAGTGTCAAAGGCGCTCGTACAGTTACGACTCTATAAGGTCTCGGGTAAGGCTGAAATTTTTTGCAAAGGCATCACAATCTCTAATTGAGAAGGATTGATGAACGAAGTCTCTTAGTTGCCTCAGTAGTAAACTTTGTGCCTATGCGGCTTCCTCATGTAATGTGTGTTTGCTCTTCTTTCCTTTTCTAATGCCTCAATTGTCATTGTAATGTTGTTGAATTTAACACTGGGGCCCGTCGATGTTTACGCAATGGTGAACGTTGGATAAGACTCTTGTTGTTGTTTGTTTTTATTTTTCTTCTTACAGCATTGGGTACATTCTTGGGTGACGCAGATTGATACACAAGGGGGTGGGTTTCTAGAAACCAGGGTGAGGTGAGAGTTTCGTTATATCGTGGATGAGTTCTTTGTGATTAAATGATTCTATTTATATATTCGTTAGAAGAAGAAGAAGAAGAAGAAGAAGAAGGAATTCTTACTTAGAGTGATCTCAATTGTACTCCTTGCTACCGCACGGTGATGGTGCCGTTAGTTGAATTTGCAGTGAGGTTGCAGTAGAAGGACATGTTTTGCAGCAATACAAAAGAATATGTTAAGTAAGCTCAGAGTACAAATTAATTTCAACATCATTTTGGATAAGACCAAAGTCTCTTCTTCTTAATGATGTAGAAAAAATGGTAATAATATCAGAAGAACTGCCTATAATCCTAAATATTTAAACTACATTCGTCAAGCAAAACTTTGCTTAGTTGGCTAATATATGCAATGAAGTTTGCCATGACCTTGTATATATTTGTGAACCAAGGTAGTTTTAAGTCTAAACTGCACTTCGAATCGAGTGTCGAGTGTGCGTTGCCGATAATGAAGTTGATGAAGATAATCTGAACCCCATTGGGTAGGGATGAGGTGAGTGGTTGACATTGTTTGCATATTCGATGAGGACTTTGCCATCATGACTAGCTCAGGAGACGTAGCTGGGGTGTTGGATGAGCTTCAAACAGATGCTCGGCTTGACTTGGGAGGCGAGTAATGTGGTTCATGGATTTTTCTGTATTGCTGGGGATACAGTTGAGTTTTAATTACATATCACATTTTTATTTTTTTTATTTTCTTGCTTCGTTGGTGATTCATAAATGTGAGTGTTAAAAGATGGAAGATATGTATTTGAGTTAAATTAAATTTCTTAGAGTGGTGAAACCAGATATTTCCATTTCTTGTAGTATTTTTCTTTCTATTCTTTTCTTGGAATGTAATAATTGCTATGATGCTCAACAAATTCTTTTCCGATGCCATCCATTTCCACTCTTATTCCTTTATAACACTCTCTTCGCGCTGTTTTTTTTTTTTTTTTTTTTGCTTCAATCTTGCGTGGTGATGACAGTTTTTTTTGGTTTGCCATTGTTACCTGGTATAAACCCCATCTATGGTTTTTTTTTTTTTTTTTGCGAAATACACTCTGCTCTTGCGAAGTCTATAGTGTATGCTATTTGGGGTTTTGGGGTTGGATTTAATTTTACATGTTCCTCTTTTCCTCTTTTCCTTTTTTCTTCTTTCTGCTACAGGACGAATTAGTTAACCTATATATAAACTTTTGCGCAATATGCTGGCTGAAGGATTTATTAATTCTTTAAACCCTCTATATAAATACCAAATGAAAAAAAGGAGGATACACCTGATGAGCGATAGAGATACCCAGAGTTGTTCCACAAACAGTTTACAACCTCTACGCAAGCTCCTTTTTGATCAATCAATGCATTCAGGTGTAAAAATATATCCACCTAATCGACACCGTCTGAGTAGGGGTTCCAATACATTTATGCACACGTTGCTGCTGCTGTTACTTGTTACAGTGATTGCAATGTTTGTCACACCCCCCTGGTTCCCCGTGGCGCATGCTCTCCGATTCGAACTGGTTGGTGATACCATCAACAACAACACTGTATTTGCATACGGCGTGGACAGCGTGCTACTGGATGGTGTGTCCATCGGAAACAGTGCGTCGGTGGTGTTTGACATCGCCGCGATGCTCCCTGGTGCGGTGCGCATTGAGCTGAGAGACTGCGTGTGCGATGGTGGGTCGCAGATCTATGTATTGGGGTACAATGAGGATCCCGCAAGTAACCGGAGTCTGGAAGTGAGTGTGGATAGATTATCTGGTCGCTTCTGCTCACTCGTCTTGGCACACAACCTGCCTCCGCAGACCAACGTGACAATCCGAGACTCTACGATCGTGACGACGGGACCCGTGAGCTACGCACCGGTCAACGGCCTGACGGATGCCATTGCGGCCCCGCTTGTGCTGTATGCGACTGCGCTTTCGCAGTCACAGCTGCGTGTGGAGAACAGCGTTCTGCGGACGTCCGCCGCCGGTGGGATGGCACTCTACGTGGGTGGCAACGTGTACCTACTGTCGAGTGCTGTGGTGCTTGACGGTGTTTCGCTGGAGGCGAGTGGAGGTGACGGGGCGTACGCGATGTACGTGTCGCCTGCGTCTGTTCTGAGTCTGCAGAGCCTTTCAGTGTTCTCTGTGACGAACACGTCTGTTGTGAGCAGCGGCAGTGGGATCGTCCTTGGCGATAGCCTCACAATGTCCCGTTCTGTGTTTCGCCTTGTGCGCCTTAATGCGAACATCGCTAACCCGCTGCTGCACGCAGGTGGCGGAACGATTGGCGTTGACGCGTGGCTCGACATATACGGTGTGCGTGTATCAGCAGTTGCGGGAGCTGGTGAGTCGTCATCGTCGCTTGTCGCATCGTTGTCATCCGTAACGCTTGATGGCGGTGTTGTCTCAATTGTGCACTCCATTGCTTCTGGCGCAACATTTGCCACCGCTCCGACAGTGACAAGTGGCATTATTTCAGTGCAATGTAACCGTCTCGGGACAAAGGTGCTGGAGGACACGAATGATTACACAGCCGCTGGTATGCTCTCTGTGAACGTTGCACCATGTTTCAGCTGCGTGGAGAATCAGCGATGCTTTACCGCACTGACATCATCGTTTCTGCCTAATAATTGTACGTGCAGCTGTTCTTCTGGTAGTTTCGGCCGCTCGTGCCTCCCGTTTGACGTGCCTTTCGCAAAACTAAACAGTCGTCCATGTATTACTGGCATTACAATAACAGAGTCCGCGACGCTTGGCTTTGAGGACCCATCACTGTGCTTCAACAACGTTACACTTAGTGGGCCGATCACTGTGATAGTGGACCTGCGCCAGATGAACACCTATGTTGACTCTGTGTATGTGACACTGTCCAAGTGCCTCCTCACTGGTGGTGCGCAGCTGATCATAAATGGACTGAATAGTATAGAGGAATGGATGCCTCCACTCAAGGTAGACATGAAGGAAGATACATCAAATGAGGCTACCATAGTATTCCAGAGTCAGATGCCACGGAAGTCACGTATCATTTTGGACAAATCAGAGCTCTACGCGACAACGGACGGATCGCTCTACGTACCTACAACCACTGGTGAGGAGGATAAAAAGTATGGGCCTGTACTTGTGTTAAACAATCTGTGGCTATTTGAAAGTCAGTTGGTTATCACGGAGACACGGTTTACCTGTGTTGGAGAAATGTGTTCCTCAATTCTTGTGGAACACAACTTAAACCTGCAAGAGCGAACATCATTCTTCTTATATGGTTGTCTTATATATGCTCAGAACCATGGAATGTATTTCCTGGCAAGTGACCTTTACGTTTTATCAAGTTCCGTGCTGTCGCTACAGTTGAATAAATGGTATAGCTATGGAGTCGGCGCATTGAAATCTCAACAAATAGTATTGCGCGACAGAGGCGTACTGCACCTCTATTGGAATTTCTTTTTTGTTGGGTATTCTATTTTCACAGCGAGTAATATCACCATTGAAAAAGAGAGTTTACTTTCCCTACGTAGGTGTGGTTGCAACACAATGCTTCTTTTCCATGTGGATGACGTCAAAGGCAATATTAATGTCCTTGATAACAGTGTATGGTCGTTGCATAGACTTACACTTGCCGAAGGATGGTACATGGCTAACACTGTATGGGCTACAAATGATTTGTATCCTGTTGTTTCTGCAGACTCTAAAGTGTATGGTGGGAATTTTTGGCACCTAGGTACTATCATGAACGACTATTCTTTTGTGAAGGTAAACACTCCAGTTACGGTCTTTCCGACGTTTGATTGTGCGAAAGAGCTCTATTGTTATCTTCCATTTACAAAATCTGTTACAGGTAGTTGCGTTTGTGTGTGTACTGCAGGTGGCTACGGACCCTATTGTTTACCAGCGCCGCTCGATGGTATAGTCTTCAAACCATCTTTTATGACACCCAAAGAAACGGTTTACTGCATACGTCGTCAGACCCTTGGTAATATTCTAATGGCTGAGACTCATGTCGGTTTTTGCTTCATTGATGTCAATTTCAACGCACCAGTTGCTTTTGTACCTGCCAGTCCCGTCAAACCAAATTACAATATCACTTTTTTGCGCTGTAATTTCATGGGACTTAGAATAATGGAAGGTAATACAAACTATTTAATTACAATAGACGCATCTGTTTTTCAGGTGCCGTCAACAGAGAGTGCCGCTTTGACCCTTAAAGGTGCGTTTAAAGACGGTTCAACGATTATTATAAAGAATAACACCATCACTTCACTGGCAAACAGCGGAATATTGTTTGACACAAATTCTATCGGAACAAATTCGATAGTACTGTTGCTTAACAATAAAATTGTTGCAGTTCAGAATGCTATTCTATTCAACAGCAACTATACCGTTGATGGAAGCAGTTTTGTCGTGCAAAACTCCACACTGAAAACTTCAAGCATGATTGATGAAACATACGCTGCATTGAAAACTCTCCAACTGAGTGTGGTGAACGGAGGGTACTTTGACTTCAGTGGCAACACACTGGATACTGTTAGTGGTGTTATGCTATCTGATGCGCTTCAAGTTTCAAAAAATGGTCTATTTAGAGTGGCGGGTTGCAGCTTCCTTGGGACATCAGGATATGCGAAAAGTTCACTTCTCTTTTTGTCAGTGTCAGCGGCATTAGCTGATGGTAGTCAGTGGCGCATGGAAAGGAACAATGTGAATGCTGGATATATTATTTATAATACTGGATCCTCTATAGTATTAACAGGTGGCGGGACCACTGCTGTGATATCAAGCAATACACAGGCGAAA